AACTAACCTAGACTAGTAATTTAAATGATATTACTAAATGCACTTTTTAGCAAATAACAGGACGATATTTTCGCTGCCCATTTTCATTTTCATGTATTTCAGATTTAATTGCTTACAAATTATTACATGTTAATTTAAAATACTTAAGGTAACAAAACACCAAAGTAGAAATAAACTCCTTCATTTTATTGGTGACTTTTCTTTAGGCTTAGTTTGCGCAAGATAAACCAAATTTCTTCGTTTCGTGGCCATCGCTCACATTAATGCTTTCTCTTCTTGCTCCACAAACTTTATTCCGTCGCCATTACCCAATAGCCTGCTAAAAGTACGCAAATAAGGAGCACTCAAATTGTCCTGGACCTTTCGAGTCGTCGATCACTAACCTGACGATTGGTGTAGTTACTGCCTGTCTACCCTCTGGTCCCAGGTTCTCAGACTTTAAGAGGAATTTAGTTGCAGACGATTTATTAGGCATCGCTGTTAGGAAGGATGGAGAGTAGGATACAGATGAGGTAAGAGACATCAGTCAAGGGGAGGCTTCACGCACGTGATCCACGTTCCCGATCGCTTCCTGCCTCTCACCTATAAAAGTCCACCTAAACAAGCTAGAATATATTACAATTGGTTCATCCTTTTTCTAAAATAGTTGGCTAAATGTGTGTGTAGTACATCTCTAGACTTCCCACTTAGAAGTCGCAGAAATGAACTTTCATATATTTGATTACTTACCTGAATGGAGATCACTTTGCTATTTTCCTTGCTCTTGAATGCTTGGACTTGTCTGCACACCATTCCAACTCCTGATCCCTTCCACTTTTTCTTGATACAATTTTTAGCTCTACTTTGTGTTTTTGTTCGCCTTACTGAATGCTACATGGACAGTAGGCAGAGCCGAATACTTGTTTCTTGGGACAGTGTAAGAAGCTTGGCTTAGTCTTTTTCACAAGCCGCTTTGTGTAAACGAGTGAAAAATGAATTACAAAGTAACCACAATTCACCAGATAGTAGAATAAGCAGGGTATTCCAGTGTGCATTACCTTCTTAACTTAACTTTCACTGTTCCCCAATCCTCCGTCTTCTTAACATTGAATCTTTTTATTAGGGAGGATGCAAGATGGCAATATGTTGCAGCTATTGCTGATTTTTATTAAAACCGGCAAAGCACTTAAATTTCGACGATTTTATCACCCAAAGGACAATACTAGCCTGATAGGGTTATAACGTCGCACAAGATCTCCGCAGCAGTAAGTGTTGGGTGTTTCTTATCGGCATACAACCTATTCGACCTGAAATAAGTTGCTGACCGGTGGCTGAAACCCTAGGAAGTACTAATTGTAGCGTCTCCAGACTTCCCTCGGGGTAGAAGATAGGAGTAAGTGGAGCTGAGAGGTCTTCATGAGTTTCTCTATCTATGGCCTCGTCTCAATGCCCAACCTTGGGTTGCCCTTGTTGACAACTTCAGCAAATAAAGGAAGAGGAGTCTTCATTAGATCGGCCTGAGCTACTTCGAGAATGCAACTCGCTATGGATGGCGGAGTGACTTTCTCTTTCCCTCAAGAGTTCCATCGGTTTAGGTTGCTGTCAAGTGCACTTTGAATGACCAAAAATTCGCCAACATCTTTTGCTCCCAATGTTGAATGCCCTTAAATTGTGCACACATTGACGCATTTTCGCACACCATTTTAAACAACTGCTTACACTTCCAATCCTACAAATCTCTGCTTCCCTAGGCGCCTTAACATTGCCTTAGTGGGGTGGGAGAGTTTTAATTTTTCACCATTTCTACCCAGCATCATTGTTATGCAAGGCCAAGAGCCCGATGGTCTGTTCCACCCAACAGCAGCTCATCGTGCCGGCTCTTGCCTCTTCACAAATCGCATTAGTCATTCTCTCCTCTGCTTCATTCTTCCCTGGCCAACTTTAACTGTGCTGTGAAGAGCTGTTCCACGACTTCGACAAGGTTCACAGCCTTCATCGAAGCGCAGTTGTATCGGTCGCCCTCCTACTAGTTGTGAAATTGGTAAGTCGCTATAACGGGAAGGTGTGGCTCCTGACAGTGGTCCCCTAAACCTCTTCTGTTCTTCTCCGACTGTTCATTTGTATGGGGAAGGATACAAGTCCGAGCGCTATCCCTCCCTTCTTTCAATCCTAAATTCCTTATCTTTAGGTGTTGAGCCTCCTTCTACATTCAGAGAAGGCACAGGAGCCTAAAACAGTGAAAGGTAATGCAGAATCATGTTATCCTGTAATTGTGATCGTTGAGGTGATTCACCATGACACCAGTATAAATAAATTCTATGTACAAGCTTGTAAATTCCATTCCGAAAAATTATGCGTCTTTGACCTCTCCCTCCACCCTCTGCCTTCTGCTTCAACCGTTCCCTTCCAGTGTGGAGGGAGTGTGGTAACCACCGTTAGGGAAATAAATATCTGCCATGCAGAAATGGTGGGTGCTGTGGTAGTGGTGGCTCCCAGGCTCGATAGCAATTTGTGTCCTTCCCCACCCCAGTGAACAGCCAGAATGTCCTCGAGATGAGAGAAGCAACAGGAGAGGTCTTAGGGGCTACCGTGAATATTTTTACCCACTTTTTGCTTAATGATGGTCTCAGTAAGGCGTCATTTTGCCCCACTAATTCGACTGGCGGGAAGACAACGGATAAAAATTGTTTGTCAAACCGCTCTCCTAAGACTCACCACATTAGGGATCGCACTCGTCTTGTCCGTTATGTGCGCCGGGCGGGTGGTGGAGAGCCACTGTAATGAACTGTCCCTGAGTAGACAAAACCGTCAGACTAAAGCGCTGGCGATACCAAATAAAGGAGGAGTTGTAGTGATAGGGTGGATCCCGGCTTCAGCGATACTCCTTCTACATTCGCCAGTCCCACTGAATTGACTTCCACAAACAAGTTGATTTAATCGTGGAATGCCGAATCAGAATTGGCTTTTTTACCCACTAGTACACATCTTTACAAGGTGTTGTGCAACCATTTTAACCAATTTTCTTCCTAGATGTGTGTGTGTGGGGGTGAATAGTGGTGGTAAGACAGTCTTAATGGCAGTGATTGACACACGTGAGAATAAATGAGCCTGGCTCACGCAATCTTCTTGGTCTCGGTGGATCTGGATTGCTGCATTTGTAATGCCTTGTTTATGTGACTACCTGACGTTTGGCGGTCACTTGAGGACTTGTCTGGTGCTGGTACACGTGGACTCGCCTTCGGGCCATGCCCAGGCCCATTTGGTCTGTCGTCTTCGGAATACGTGCATTCAGCCTCCATTCACTGCCTTCTTCCATCCGGTGGAAAGTCTTGCAACGCTACACTGGTGACAGCGGAAAGCGAATCCGACATTGTTTTCTAACCACTTCTATCCTCGCACGTACCGTTTGTTGCATGTGCCTACGGTGTGGAGGAGGCGCGTTTACACCGGTGATGGGAGAATATCTGACGCCCTCACAACGAAAGAGTTGAGAGTGACGTCTGCATTCAGCCTCACCTTATTCCTGTGTTCCACAGACAAGCCATTAACAACTGATGCCACACCAACGTGAACCATCTGGAGAAGTTTAGTGGCAGAATTTCTCCTACAAAATCCGTGTTTAGGTGTCGGAAATGGAACCACGGTTCTCCTTACATACGGGACAGCGCCTTATCCCGTTGTCTCTGTAACATATCTATTTTAGACCGAATTTCCACTATCTAGTCATGGAAGCAATTGATGGTCAACAGATGTACACTGCTCTGAATCTGGTTGTCAGACGAACGTGATTCCAGATCCAGCTGAAGCTGTCGAGAAGACGAGGTAGGGTTCCTCAGTCTCGTATTGTCTGTGGACTGGCGTGGTTGGCTGGTGGGTGCTTTCTTGTGGTACCGAATATGTTGTGATGGCTGGCGCGGGAGGAGTATCAAGACGAGCACCGAGGACGTGGCTCAAGTGAGGAGAGGGGCAGTGTAATGCTTTGTTTATGTGACCACATAACGTTTGGCAGTAAATATAGGATTTGTCTGGCTCTTGTACTCATGAGCTGACCTTTGAG